AAGGGCATAACTTTCAAACGGTAAATGACTCTCTGCCCAAATTCAAACTTTGTCTGAGTGTTTTGGTTCTGAGAATAGTGTTTTTTTTTCAAAAAAATTTATATAAGCCAAATGAGTTTGAGTGCAGAAACGAGAGAAAAATTGGACCTTCCAAGTGTTAAAGGGGCATAACTCTAAAACGGCAATTTACTCACTGTTAATATAAGAAATCTGTCAGTGTACTGTTTTGGTTCAAAGCATTGTGTATAAATTTCATAAAATTTGGACCCGCCAAAATAAACGATAAAGTGCAGAAATGAAAAAAAAATGCAATTTTCCAAGTTATAAAGGGGCATAACTCTAGAATGATAAATTAGTCACTACCAATATCCTCCCTGTCTGCATGTTGTGATTTTTAGCATTGTGTATGAGTTTCATAACAAACTTAAGTTAGATTGCGGAAATGAAAAAAAGAGTAACACTTAATGGCCCATTCCCCTTGCAGCAGCGGCATAAACACGGAAAAGGGTGGTAAATGGTTATTTTGATGCAACGCATTAAGCTATTTTCATTTCACTACTTCTGTGAAAAAAACTGATTATGTACCATGCTTTGTGAAATTGTTAAAAAAAAAGCAACGTGCAAGTAAATTTTATTTTTAGTTCATCATGAAATGACAATAATACTTCAATTTCTTCCATGCACATGATGATGTCATCACACACACACCCTTTTGCGACCCTCATTGATGCAAACTACATGCTACCATCAACCAAAAGCTAATATAAACATGGTTTTTCCTTAGGATAAAATTTGTGTGCTTGATCATGAACAGTTAAATAAAACCAAATATGAACTACAGCAAACCAAGGACCACGTAGTTAAAAGCTGACTTGGAATATTCACTTCAAATGAATACTGCATTACTGGGAGGTCAACTATTTGTTGGCACGGTGCCACCCAACTCTTTTTTTGTACATGTAGATGGGGAATAAAAATTTGCACAGCATGTTTTTTTTTTATAACTCAAACAGGTCATTCTTATATTTCAAAACATGAAAATTCAGCCACCTCTTGCAAAGGCTATTTTTTTTAAGAACTAGCTACAGTACTTGCAGAACTAACAATAAGAAATAACTATGTGTATTGTTACTTCCAGGACTAATTGCCAAATTGTGTTTCTGGACAAGGAGCTGATTCAGGGGCAGATCCAGCCATTTTCAAAAGGGGGGTCCAGGGGCAGATCCAGCCATTTTCAAAAGGGGGGTTCCCAACCCAGGGTAAAGGTAGGTCCAAATATACATTCTGAAACAAATGAATTACTTGTCCAAAAAGGGGGTGGGGGCACCCCTGGATCCTCCACTGGGGTCCAACCCAGGAGAAACCGCAGGGAGAGAGGGGGGATTTAAAATATGTCCCCATTCAAATAACTTGATCGTAAAACCAAGGCCAGGGGTTCCGACAGCCAGTTCTTCCCATTTTTACACTGCACAGACATAAATCCATTGTGTCAATAATTATAGTCCTATAAATCCCTAATTATGTGTATTTCATATAATCAGTATTATTATAATTTTGTTTATTACTATACATAAAAATGCTTCTATCTGACAGTCTGACGCAAAATATTTACATCAAACATGTACATGATTTTGACCAATCCCACCAATCTATATAATCATTTAATTAGTTACACTAAAACAAAGCTTTTCTCTTGTCAACTGGTAATTATTTTAAATCAGTTTAACAACAAAACCACATACAATTTTAATCAGGGTATAGCAATATCTCGGGTCGCCGAGTGCTACACGTGTCCAAATCAAAACAATAACAAGTATTTACATGCTTCATTTTCAGTTTCATTTCACAAAGTTCGTTTTACGTGTTTAAATCAAATAATGACAAATTGCGTACAAGGCATCAAGAGTTGTCTCCCTAATATTTATCTTTTAACGAGGTAAAAAAAAAATTACTTATTCTAGTTATTTTTTCCAGACCCCACATGCTTTCCAAGTAAAAGCGTCGACACTGCTCCTACGTGCGTCGACGTATACATAAATTACAGAAATAGACATATGAAATGTTAATAAAACCTGGAAAAATATAAACAACATCAATAAAATTGCATAAAATAAGAGAATTTCTGTCAAAAAATTGACGAAAACGCATTTTAACAACAACAAAAACTCACATTTTTTCGATTAGCTTCTGTCTTAATGAATCCTAGTGATCTTAAAATTTCGAGACGCGACGGCCATACTTCCATGACGGCCATGGGATGTTTCGGCCATACCGTCACATCGTCCATGGGACATATCGGCCACACATTGTGAGACGTATCGTCCACACTTTAAAAAATTTTTTTTATTGAGGTTATAGCACAAAATATAATAATAAAATAAGTATTTATTCATAATAATAACATTAATATGATTTTGTAGTATTTTTTTCTGTACAAGAGATCTTATTTATTCTTGTAAGAGTTATCTTTGCTTGATCATCATCACTCGTGTTTACAACTTGTTGGGGCCATATTATGTAAGTATATTGACTATTTCTTCATTATCAGTTATAAACAATTTCTGAAGAATCATTTTTATTGTAATGTGATATAAAGGCATCTTATTTTATATGAAGTTTAAACTGTAGGAATGTTGACTGTCGCTGTCGATGACGATATATAAATACAAGCACATGTCACAGATCTTTTTATTATATCTGTAAAAAATATATTATTCTAAACAATAAAAATCTTCTCAATCTCAGTCTTGGTGAAATTTTAAACAGGACTCAGTGTTAAGGTTAACTCTAAGGAAGGCAGTTCATTAAGTTCGAGTTATATTTGTCATGTTCATCAGACAGTACATAGTTTAATAATTCTGTATTTTTTTTCTTTCTTATAGTTTAGAGTCATTCCATTTGCTGAACATCTTTCCAAGACGGAGACTTCTGTAGAACTTTCCAATAACATAACAAATTACCTGTAATATCCGACAGGAATGTGCACCCTAATAACATGATAAAAGATGGCCAGTTTCATTTTTATCATACTGAATGTTCTTTTTGCTTAAGTTTGTTCATTGTGTTGAATACTATTTGTTGACAATTTAAATGTTCCCATTTTTGTGCATTTGTTGATGGAGAATTGTATTATGGACAATCAAACCAATATACTCTAGTATAAGAAACAAAAAGATAATATTTTTGTTTAATATATTTTATTTATTCATTCAGTCATACAGATAAACAAATATACAACAAACATATAAATCATACATCATACATACACAAAACACTCATATATATTATTCTTTTCGTTCAGGCATGTAGAAAATCAAACACCTGAAATAACAAGAAATTAAAATATGACATATATTTCTTTACAGTCAAGTAATATTAATACACTGATAATAATGTTTAAGGCCGTAGTAAGGTGACCTATAGTTGTTAATTTCTGTATCATTTGGTCTCTGATGGAGAGTTGTCTCATTGGGAATCATACCGCAATCATACCACATCTTCTTTTTATATCTATTAATTGATACCTATGGTCCATTTATTGGACAAATGTGTAATGCAAATAACACTTAAATATAGATTTAATTCTTATCAGGAAAGCGTCTTAACCAAAATTAAAGTAAAAAAAAAAATGTATCTAAAATATGACCGAAAGTACAAAATATGATTCAAAGGAAAAACTAAATTAATATTAAATTTGTAAATACCTGTATTGCAAAGCCTGTGTTGCCATTTATCACAATCCTCACATTGGAGAGCATGTTGTCTTGGTCGGACTTGCTGGTCACATAGCACACGAGGGTACGACATGATGAACAGCAATTTTCCAAATGAGTGCCACCGACATTTCTGGTTACTTTTATAAAGCAAGGTCGGTACATCAAAAAGACTGCTCAAACAGCTTGTATTTTTACAAGAATTTCACTACCAAATGTATGTTTGCACTCCGCTTGAACTCAGCTTGGGTGTTGTGTTTTTATAGTGATCTTGAATTGTATTTCCATTACAATTTCTTGACAAAAGCATAATTAATACTTGTGTTCATCAAAGAAGTAATAATAAGCAATCAACAATCTTCTTAAATTTCAAACTTAATCATTACTTGATTATACCTTGTTTTATATTTCAAAACTGAACTTATTGTTTTAATTTTGACAGAAATTAGTCTCCCATTCGGATATAGTCATTCATATTTGTTCATTTTGTTCTGTTTGTTATACGCAAGATATCAAAAAACCATTTAGAAAACAATATGATATTTAATATTTTATTAGATTAAACACATTCATTTACGATATATATATAATGATTAAACAAATGATATAACAAAATTAAACATGATAAATAATATAAAAACAGTAAAGTTTATCTAAAAGTTATAATAACCATCTATAAGTATCAACATAATTCATAAATAACATCTATATAAAAAATAAAAAAAACCATGGACGATACGTCTTCACAAAGTATGGCCGTTTTTGTCATATGGCCGTTTCATCTTTTCGGGGTATGGCCGTTTCATCCTATGGACGTCATGGCAGTATGGCCGTCACGTCCTGCATCGGTTTTGCTTCTTAATAACGCGGAAAATGACGAGTGATTCACGCGAGACTAGGAACTGGTAAAAAAAACCGCGGTAAATTCGAATGGGAATTAGAAAGAGCTTGATCTTTTAGTAAAATACAGATTTGACAAAAATAACGCGAATACGTCATAAAAATTGTTACTTGTTTAAGTAATGCCCCTGACTGGTAAAATTAAAATGTTTTACATAAAACATCTGAAAAATATCAGTTAAATGTAAAAATAATATTTTATTTAAACTTTATTCAAAACCCCACAAACAATGTTTTGTGGAATTAGCTCGTTTTTTTTTCAGGATAAGATATAGTACTACATTTCATCAATATCATGACAAGCAAGATACTATGGTTGAAATCCTTAATTGATATCTTAATTGAAGATCCTTGGAGTCAGATTTTATTCCTTCTTTATAATATATTAAAATTCAAAAGAGTCAACATTAAATTAAGCAATAATGTATTAATAAACAATCACCTTTCTTTAATGTTTATTCATTTCGTTCGTGTATATTTTAGAAATTAAGAAATGAAAACTGTAACTGTACTAAGTTCAATTTTCGTATCGTTTATATGCCTTACGGAAAACCGACCTTTTCCGGAATCGACTTTTGTTTTATCACCGGAAATGATTCTGAAATTTGAATTTCGAAACGAAGACAGGATATCAACAAAGAGAGTCAAGAAAATTGTTTGTTACGCGATATATACTCACTTGGTAAGAATGATTAATCTGTTAATATGAAACTTGTGCATTCATTGTGTGTGTTTAATCATAATCGGAACCAAATTACATCTGTTTCTGGAGGTGCGGATCAAGGTTTTGAAAAAAGGGGGGCCCCTGCCCAAAGCAAGCAAACGTTTGGAGTGATACTTGTAAATAGTCTATACATTTATCTTATAATTAGCTCCATAAGGGGTCGGGGCCCCTAAATCCGCCACTGCTCAAGCATCTACGTACACCAATTATGAATTTGTTCATTGATATAAAATATAAGGATATGTGACTTGTTAGTCCGAGATTACTCTGACGTCCAACGGCTGTTTTGCCAGACAAGCTGGGGCCGTGGGACGTCAGAGCTCGTCCCATATCAAAAAGTGGATATTTGCCCGTCCAAAATAGATGCGCTGCTTCGTCGCTTCTGGTGCCAACGGACGGCCTTGGAATTATATAAATCGGGTATCAATTTGTTCATTTTTCATTTATCTCTTCATTTATGTAAGTTTCACCTACCTGCCACCCTTTATTTTCTCATATTTAGACAGTTTTCACAGTGACCCACCGATTCTGGCATTTTGACTTTCATTTTGAAAGATTGTCATGTGATCACGAGAAAAAAGTAAGGCACAATGGACTATGGAAAATGATGTATGCATATGACCCTAGGTCAATATGAATATATAATCTAACACCTCGCTCATTTACGATGCAAGCAATGTAAATATCCGAGAGCTTTCGAATGTTATCGTGGTTGGCACTAAATGCTTAATACCGATCTCCTGTAAAGGAGGTGAAAAATCGTGGTTGGCTACTAAATGTTAAATATCGATCTCCTATAAAGGTGGTGAAAAAGTATAGATATTTGCATATTTGAGTCTCGAGGTCGCAAAATGTCTCGTAACATTTGAAAATAAAAGTAAAAATGTCTGAATCGATGGGTCACTGTGAAAACTGTCTGAATATGAGAAAATAAAGGGTGGCAGGTAGGTGAAACTTACATAAATGAAGAGATAAATGAAAAAATGAACAAATTGATACCCGATTTATATAATTCCAAGGCCGTCCGTTGGCACCAGAAGCGACGAAGCAGCGCATCTATTTTGGACGGGCAAATATCCACTTTTTGATATGGGACGAGCTCTGACGTCCCACGGCCCCAGCTTGTCTGGCAAAACAGCCGTTGGACGTCAGAGTAATCTCGGACTAGTGACTTGTGTGTTTGATTGCCAATACACCTTATCGCTATTTGTCCGCCATTACTGGCCATGGACTTCACAAAAGTTCCCGTAAAATGTTGACGTCATATTAGAAAATATTTGACACCACAATTGAAAGTAATACACCTTATCGCTATTTGTCCGCCATTACTGGACATCACACAACTGTCACAAGTTCCCTTAAAATTTTGACGTCATCATAAAAAATATCTGATGCCACAATGGAAAAGTGATTGTTGTTTGACGTCAAAAGTTCAAGCAGGATAGATTCTCGCGTCAAGCGGGAATAGTGATAAGGTGTATTATTGTATGACGTATGCTGACGTAAAAAGTTCAAGCGGGACAGATTTCCAAATACTGAAATAGCGATAAGGTGTATGAGACAGCTATCCACCAGAATTTAAATGACTTGGATAAAAGAAATTATAGGTCACTGTACGGCTTTCAAAACTGAGAAAACCGATGCCATATAGTCCACTTTGAAGCCTTGACAAACAAATATTAATTTTTTCTCAACACAATTGAAACAAAACAACTAACTGCCTACATTAAATACACATTATGAAAAAGAAATTTGACAGACTTAAACCAACAACAACTATTGCAATAAGCATGACTCAAAACCTTGTTACCGAGGCACACAAACAAGTTACAAAAACACTAATATAGGCACCATTTGAATATGGAGATTTTTTTTTCTAGTAAAATCAGTGTAGGTATGTATTTGCGAAACAGTAAATTAAATTTCCAATAACAGCTTAATGAACATTACAAAGACTATGTAAGACTTCAGTACAAGCAAGATAATATAAACTGTTGCTTAAAATTATATTTATTGCTTCATACACACAATGTACATACAATGTATCTTTTATTTTTTAACAGGAGCTAAAAGAAAAGCCACAAAGGACAAGTTCAATATGCAGGTTTACAATTTGGAAGTGGCGCAGGTTCTTTGGAATGTCTACAACCTTTCAGGAGAATTATTTTTTGAAGTAAGATTTTCATACAGAATTACTGTTATTCCATATTTAATTCAAATATTTAGCATAAACAATGCATTACATTCAAGATTATTGGCATACAATACAGAAAAGATATCTGGATATTTGAATAAATTATTTCTTTTGTGACAAAAAAGAAAAGTTGTTTATTTAAATCAATCTTTTAGTCCAACAGTGTGCTTTCATAAACAACATATTTGCTTTCCTTTGAAGTATTTCAAATACATACATTGTATAAACAACTCATTTAATGACATCTTTGTGTTTCTCGGAAGTTAAGATATATTATTATCATCATTGTGAAAATAATGCATAACACTTCGATAAGTTATTATGTGCCTAGAGTATACTTCTAGGACTGTATCATATGCCCTTAGATACAAATGACAAGTTATAAACTATGTCACTCTCCAGAGTTTAACACTTAAAAAGGACAATAAGATGTTTAATGACATTATGTAGCAGGGCTTTTAAAGGCCCCTACATGATACAATGCATTTAATGAAAACTAAAAAAAAAACAAGAAAAACAACAGCCTGATTTATACAAAACAATAAAAGAAAAAAAATATGATAGACAACAATCAATGAGTATAATGAAATAAGACTCTTGACTGGACGCATATCTAGTGTAAAGTTTTTTATGTGTTTTTTTTTTAATAACTAAAGGAAGTTCAGCGTGGCATATTGCTCTCTCTTAACACGGTCAGCCATTTATCGTCCCCTTCCGACAGACTATCATCGTTATTTGTTTCAAAACTTTAAAGGGGAGGGGATGTATATCCTTCAGGCAACGTGAATCGTTCTATAATAAAGGAATGTGCAAGAAGTTTATATGAATGTAAGATTAATTTTTTTTTTCAGAAGCATGGCACAGCAAGAAAAAGATATAAGACACTACAAGACATTCCAAGTGATTTTGAATAAGACAATTGATTGACTTTTTCAATGTATTCTTAAATAAATCAAATAGTTGATGTAAAATGGTGTTTTGTTCACATCTCTTCAGCCAATTATCAATGATTTTTGACTTAAGATGTAACCCTATTAGAAGTGTAGCGTTTTAGTTTAGAAAGAGAAGTTGTATTGAAAAATCTGAATTTGGGACACAAGTTTTAGTCAATGTAACTTGAACTTAAAAATGTGTTTAATGTTTGCATAATGTCCAATGGCATATATGTCATGCATGTTCAGGTTGACATATGCATGATGTGTATAAGATAGGTAATAAAAGTTGAGAGTGAAAAACTAAACATTATACCATTGTAGTTGGAATGTGGGCTTTCTTGCACTGTCTGTCGTCTGTCCACCTATATTTGTCAGATTTTGTCCAACAAATATTTTCATCACTGTTTTTCCCAAAACTGCTGATAAAGATGAGTTCATATTTAATGAGCTGCTTGATAGTGATGAACTGTGATGTGTGAACATTTTTGTATCTGGCACCTGTTTCCTGTTTGCTTATACATTGTTTTTCAATATGTTGAATGTTCTCAAATTTTTCATTACTTTAATTAGTAATGCTGATGAACAGAATGACTTCATATTTGGTAAGTGGCTTGACCATGATGAGTTGTGTCTGCCATTTTGGATGTGTCAAAATTTGTAGATACTTCTTGTTTTTAGAGACTTTGAATTGTGAATTTCATATGCTTAGCAAAACATCTGATTTATTCTTGTTTGTATATAGAATTAATCACTGTGTATAAATTAATTTAACTAATGATTTGTTATTTAAAAAGCAGGAAACTCAATCAAAAGTACAGAAATTTTTATATTGATATGATCTATATATCAACCAAAAACATCTTCTTAAAACATTTTGAAAACATTTATTATAGGCACATTCTCACTTGCAAGAAAACATCCAAAAAACATTTTTATAACATTATTTGATGTTCATGATGTTTTTCAAACGTTCAGAAAATATTTCTAGAAAATATTTTTTAAAAGATTATCAAAATGTTTTATACGCCATTGTTTTTCACATTATCGTGATATTTCTTTACAACATTTTAATTATATTATGCAAATATTTTAGAAAATATATTAGAAAACGTTTTAGCGATATATATTCTACCATACATTTAATGTTTTTCTCACGTTTTTTTGTGATATTTTCATGACATTAGACACAACATTTTAAAAACATTTTAAAGATGTTTTTGTGTTTGCTGGGATGTACTCTAAAAGATTTTTGGAATTTTTTAGTATCCACATCTGATTCATGCCACCTCTAGAATAGGCAGTTTCACAATAACTTTGAAGCCCGACTTTGATTGCTGATAAAATAGATGTTAATAATTTAGAAAGAGGTTTCGTGGAGCACTTGGAAGACCCAGCAATATGCCGTTGTTTGTAACAACACTTATGTAGTTTAGGTATCCAATACAGTGATGGAAGATCCAGTTCTTCATCTTTGGTTGAAATTCCAAAGGAACATAAAACAGACCTATGATTATCAAGGATTTCCTCTTTGGTAAGTGTCGTGAGGGTATATGTTTAGTTTCCAAGTGAATTGTCAATACCTAATTCATTTATCAAGCAGTTTATGTAATGAGATTTACACACAAAAACGATGTTGTTTGGGGCTTTATCTGCGGGGACAACAACATATTTGTCATGGAGGTAGGACAAGTGTTTTGCAACATTTGGGTCTTTAAAGATTGACGTAGCATGGGTATTGATCGACCCATTTAGTTTCTTAATTCTGATTTGTATTAACGACCTCACAGCCTTAATCCATTCGGACAGAGTATCTACGTCTTCTTTCTCGCGTTTACCCCATTGTCTGGCATGATCCTCGACCGAATCCATCAGTATTTTGAAGTTGTATTTCCAATTGATGGATTTAGGCTCACGATATTTCGGACCTTTGGATAACACATTTCGCAGGGAAGTGTTATTGACAATGTTGAGGTCTCCGGTAAAAACGTGGCCAGCCGGATTATATGTGAATTGGGAGCTAGCACAGGTGCAATCAGGAGGTTTAGACTTGAAGTCGTCAATATTGAGATCCTGCAAAAGGGGACTTTAGGTTTGCACTCAAGTGGACAAAGAAAATTCACTCAAATAATCAGTTTTCCTCACTTTTTTTTCGTCATGCTTGAAGATATTGATTTGATAATTGGTATATAGTTTCATCTTGACAAGTTACAGATCAAGTTTAAATTTTGATCCGGTCTGATAATTTTGTGCTGAGTTATGATCCTTTAATTTAGAAAATTCACTCAAATAATCAGATTTCCTCTTTTTTTTTCTCGTCATGCTTGAAGATATTGGTTTGATAATAAGTATATAGTTTTATCATGACAAGTTACAGATCAATTTTTGAATTTTGTTCCGGTCTGATGATTTTGTGCAAAGTAATTGTACTTGGACTTAGAAAATTCACTTAAATAATCAGTTTTCCACATATTTTTCGTCATGATTGAATATATTGACTCGATATTTGTTATATAGTTTACACCATGACAAGTTATAGATCAAGTTCATATTTTGTTCAAGTACAATGAATTTTTAACCGGTAGGGGACTTTGAATTGCCATGTAATACTCTCAGAATGCTTGTTTTGATAGAACTCCTTTCTCTAAATATCAGTTTTCGGAGTCCTGAAATAGTCACTAAATATTTTCAGATTAAGTCAAGGAACATATAGTTCTCATTCCTTCAGGAAAAGTGCTGCTACAAAGCTGCCATAAATGGCTGATCTGATTCAAAAACTCAGGCAATGTGTAGATGGAAGTCTGAGTCATTTCGTTCATATATTCAAATACAACAATGTGTATAACTGTTTTTTTTTTTTTTATAATTTTATGTTTAGAACTTGCAATCACTTTAGTAGGACTAACCGTTATGTAAGAATAGCAGTTTCGCCAGTAACCATTTGGATTGTGGTTTCCTCCTTTGTAAAAAACGAATTGATGCCAGCTCGGAATATACCAGGTGGCATTCATCTTGCACAATATAAAACTGGAATTTGGTTTACATATCTCTAATTTTACACATAGGCAGATAGGCGGAAATGATTGAGTTGACACTAAGACAGGAGTATTACATATTAGATTGGGGAAAAAAATACTGTGAATATAGTTTCTGTTCTTTTACTGAACATCAGATTGGTGTGGTCTTAAGTTTGCCAAAATAATATGACGTTATTCCGCAGACACAGAAGCAATGATTAGAGCCAGAAAGAGGATAATCAGCTCGCTGGCTAGTTTGATCATTCTTCAAGGGGGATATTATAATCAATACATACGATATCCCGATGTATCTCCTAATTCCATATTTATATGCCAAGATGGTGTACATTTGACTAATATTGGTAATACATTTTGCTTATCACAATTAAAGGCGCGGTAGAGGCCTTTCTTTTCTACACACCACATACTTTCAACAATGAGTATTAAGAAATTGCATGATATTCATTAGAATTCAGTTATCGTTAGGGTTTAAATATATGAGTCCTTTATATCTCGTTTTTTTTGTATTTGGCACACAGCTTCTACTCAGCTCTATCCTCTTTTAATGGCGGTTGACCCGTCAGTTATTTATGACTGCCTTGGTCAATTTGGCACATTTCGCTGCTTTTCCTTTAAATATACGTCATTTGGCGTCATATTTCATTTAGCATCCAAAACATTTGATATTGTGGGTCTCTGTATCCCAGGACCACCAAACAAAAATTTACGAATTTCTGTTTCCCAGGATTCATTTAATTGGATGCTTCATTTATTGTTAATAATTAGTTATCTAGTTATCTTTTTGTAGTTTGCCAATATGAAAGGTGACTACGTCCATTCAATTATCTATTTATTATACATATATATAAATATCTTAACTGTTTACCTAGTCATATGTGTTTGTAATTTTATAATAAAGCTGTGGCCAAATACTGCCAACACCGTGTTTCTAATCATTGCGCATCAATAATAATAGAATTTATGATTAAGCATAAATTCGGTTATAAGTGTAAGCATAGATTACTTGTGTTATTCGCCGTTTCACCTCTTTCAAATGTAGGCTATCAGATGTATGTTTGTCAATGCGCAATATGACTGCGCACGCGATCTTTTTCATTCCGACATTTGAAAGAAACAGACGGAATACTATTTGGTGATTGAAAGACCCACCCACCCACTTCTTTGTCTTATACTACCTCGCATAATATATCATGAACGTATTTTTGCTGTTTCTGTAATATATTTTTCAGGATAATCCTTGTACAACCAATCGGATGAACCGTAAACTAAGCAGTATATGGGGAACATCAGTTTATTATCTACTGTGTACTTGTCCGTAGTTTGCTAGTATAGCTATGCCATCTTAACGTGTGTTGTGGTTTTAGACTATGTATTTTAGACATTTATAAATCCAGTAATCTGTGACTTCGTTCGTATCATGTAAGAACAATTTTTGTATGTGCCCGTTTATATGAACATTCCGTAGAGATATTTGGTTATGGGCACATTTCGCTACGTTTCCTTTAAATATGCGTCATTTGGCGTCATATTTCATTTAGCACCCAAAACATTTGATATTGTGGGTCTCTGTATCCCAGAATCACCACACAAAAATTTACGAATCTCTGTTTCCCAGGATTTAATTAATTGGATGCTTCATTTATTGTAAATAATTAGTTATCTAGTTAGTTATCTAGTTATCTTTTTGTAGTTTGCCAATATGAAAGGTGACTACGTTCAATTAATTATCTATTTACTATATATATATCTTAATTGTTTATCTAGTTAGTTATCTAGCTATCGTGTCGTAGTTTACCAATATGAAAGGTGACTACGCCCATTCAATTATCTATTTACTATACATATATATATATCTTAACTGTTTACCTAGTTATATGTCTTTATAATTTTATAATAAAGCTGTTGGCAAATACTAATCATTGCTCATCAATAATAATTCCTTTTGCATATAGCAAGGCAATCAGAACATAGGACAAAAATCATTTGAAATGTGCTACCCTAAAACTGTACGCACATAAATCAACACAAATCTGACTTAAACATATTTTAATCTTATCAAAATAGATCTAAATCGTGTTTATTATTAATGTTTCGAATCATAAATCCAATAAACTTTCATTTGAACACTTACAACTGCAAATTCCTTAAAAAAAATATAAATTTTAGCATAGGTGTACTGAAAATTCGACATTTCTTTAAAATGACTCATATAACTTTTATTGGACAATGGTGTTGTTTTTAATAATTACACCATTCCAGGCCCTTTTGTTTTCCACATAATTAATATTACCAATTTCCGGGTATAATCCGATACCGATACCAATAGTATTACCCTATATGTCACATGTAGTAACCTGTTAGCTTCTGTAAAGGTGGCACGGTAGTATTTCCTGGCCCATAAGGGATGATGATAGCCTTTTTAGAATTTTCACCACTTTCTAACACTGCCAAAAATTCTACATTAACAGTTAACTGAAGTACTTTCATTTTACTATTCAGAAATGAATTTGAATATGTATCATGAACGTTTACTTTTTTTGCTATCTTTAAGAACCTAAGGCCACTAGTGCTTTTAGGTCTTTTATCGTGCAGTGAATACAAAGTTTAAAAAAATTCTCAAAAATTTATTCTCATCTGTATGTAAAATTATTTCATATTTTTCTACACCTGATTCATCCCTCAGTTTGGGAAAGTATGTTCAGTTGATACTGTATTTTTTGTCCAATCGTAATGTTCAGATACATTGACTTAAGTAGGGTACACAAAAGAGCAACCTAAATTCTGGAATGCAAATACTACCGTGCTACCTAAATCACTCCTCTATCAGGAGAATCAGGAATTCTTTCAGTTGTTGTTTTATATCTATGTTACAATATAGTACCCTATTAAACAAGTCTGTTTTCTTCTACATCAATACCACTATTAATTAGGTTAATTCGTTATAAAATTAAATTTTGTTAATAGTAAGTTTATCATGTTTATTGTAGTAAGAAAATAAGGACAGGTTCAAACAGAAAGATTTTGAAAGCAGACAAAACTGTGCACCTTCCAATCAGCTTGACTTTATCAAATGACAATACGAATACTAAAAATCCAAGCTAAAAATAAGGCATAGGTACTTTCATGCAGTCACGGACCCGCGGATGTGTTCTAGTGTATTATTTAAATGATATGCCCTTGATGTTATTTTACTTCCTTGACTGTATGACGACACACATATAAAATGAAAAGTATGATAGTAAAGGTAAGCCAAGATTGATATCATCTGCACATTTAATAACTTTTTCATATTTTGTTTCATTATTCCACATATTTGATTGTTGTATTTTGAGAACATTTCAAGTTATTAAAATATTGTTGTCAATTGTTTGTGTGTGACCATAACACAAAAGTCCAAGTTACATATGGTTATTAACAATAGCACAGGAAATAAAAATACATGTTGAATACTGAAATGAGCCTTTAAAACTTATTTGCTATGCAACTAACCCATTTTTTTTAAAATGGAGAATCGAAATTAGGTTTAATTGAAGTATCACATGCAATAACTTGAACATGTTGAATAAGAAAATATGTGTAAAAAAAATGGCAATAGGGAAAGTAGAAAGTGGTATTGAAATTATTTTGTAGTTTAAATCGTAGATGAAATCTGTCAATTAATGTGAATCAATATTACACATACAAAAATTTCCCTGACAATGTAAAAATACATTTCTTACAGGCAGTGCTATGCCAGTATGCTATCCTCTGGAACATTAATTATCATAATTGTATTTTTGTAGTTAATAAGATATATAACCAAAAGTAAGGCTGTAATTCCCCCTGGCAAAGTTGACCTTGGACGGATTAAGCTGTAACACCTTTATTTCATTTTTGTTTTAAATCTCTAAAAAGAAATATGCTTTTGTTTTGTTGTTACTTGTTTTTGTTTTCAAAGTTTCGATTTAGAACATTTCTGATACATTACCATGCGCCTTTTAACTCATACGTTTACTAATATTCAAATGTGTTCATAAATATAATAAATATCCTAGCACACCTTCCCTTTTAATAATTTGTCAATACTCCTTCTTCCAAATGTGCCTTCAACAATAGTTCACCCGTGAGTTAAATGCTGGAAATTGAACAACCAAACAATGAGTTAATAAATGCATATCCTTGTGAACAGCAATACATTCAAGGAAATCCTCAGGAGAAAGCAAGCATTAGAAAACATGGACTATCGTTCCAACTTGGAGATGTATATGTATATACATATATACAAGTCTAAATTGAAAACAACGTTCAAACCTATGATTGCGTTGGATAAAAACCGCAATTTTATATGTGTGCATGTTAAACAAATTTCTTGTTAGAGGGGTCTAAATACAGCACATACAACAGTTTCCAAAAGACTAAAACAGTGCAAAAGTATATTTTAACAAAACGCATTTGACTAACAGGTCGAACAACAAATGTTCTTAAACCCTGCTGACTGCCATTAGCGATTGCCAAATGAACGGATCACCGATGTAATAAATGGATTTTAATTATAAATTTAATACTAAATAGAAAACAATAAACTTGCGGAAAAGATGGTATACCGCAAACGTAATACATATATTATATTCTATATGCAAGTTGTTATCGAAATGTCCTATATGCAAATGGATAGTTCTGAGTCGTCTAGTTGATCGTGAAGATTAATTCTATACCAACCTTTGCTGATAATTTCAATAGCCAGTCTATATATGGAAACTACATGTGCTCTTCATCTCGGCAACTTGATTTTTTAATCGTTTACAACAGTCTGCACAAGAAGAACGAGAATAAGCTAGCATTGTCCTTATTTCCACGCTATATGCATTGTCGTTGCGCTCTCATTAAATAATTAAAAGTTTGGTGACCTTGCTAATATATTATATTCAATTGAATTTAACATTTCACAGATACACCTGGTTCTTTTTCATATCGCAACATGTGTGCAAAGCTTGCTGTATATATCTATCTTGTACGCTGAACTTTTTTTTTCAATCTAATCTAAAGTTCAAAACAGCGAATACTTGCAGGTTTCAACACAACAGGAGACAACACAATTTTCTTTGCAATATGCTAGTTATAAGTGAACAATCTGTGTTACTCAACATGACCTGACTTAGAAATGATCAAATAGTTCGTTTCTGTGTATGTTGGCGTTTGTTTTTGTTGCACTTCAGTGTTTCTGTTGTTCCGTTGTTTTCCTCTTATAGTTGATGTGTTTCCCTTGGTTTTAGTTTGTAACCCGGATTTGTTTTCTCTCAATCGATTTATGACTTTTGAACAGCGGTATGCTATTGTTGCCTTTATTAGGCTCAAATAGGCAGAAATCGAGCGCAAGTTTCAAATTCTTAAGGAAACATGATGCATTGTGCTAATTTTCCACTATTTCTTGTACATAACGTGTATGCAAACTTGGTCTTGCGAATGAGCCTTTTATCTGTGCATTCCGTACATTACATTTTATTAACTAAAACGGTCTAAATAATTAGATATTTGACGATTTATACTGACCTATCTTGTTCGAAGAGAAATTGCCGTCCCAGCATGATGCCGACCTCGGTCCCCATATGTGGCATTGGACACAGTGATCACAAACATTATGAACATTGGTATATATTTGAACAATAAAACTAGTCCACTAATATTTCAGATAATTATATTATTCATATGAATACTATTTGTTTGATCATCAAATAACGTATTAGATTACCAGTTTAAGTATCTGTTTGTTTTTCTCTTAAAATTAATGAATTATTGTTACCACGCTTCAAATTATGAATTACAGACTTAACCAAATCTTTTACGAACATGACGAGATGAAAAATGCACAGTAATCTGGTCACAGATCATGATCAAATAGAATAGCAAAAATCTAGAATAAATTGAATCTGTTTTGATGAATTAGTTTCCTTTTGTAAATGTTAGCTTTAGAAAGTCTCATGCATTGCAAAACATTATAAGCCACCAGATGAGCTACTTAAACATAAAACAAAACAAAGGCACCATTAACAAAAGAAACCAAACGAAACAACAGACAATAGTGCTTTACACACAAACATTACCAAAAGTCTTTTTACCATTATCATTTCTCTGACTAACTGAAATTTAGTTCCTTTTGAATATACTTTTGCTTGATCAGGTAAAACATTATAAATTTCCAATATGCTAGTCTACTCACATCTTATTAAACACACAATGTGGAATGTCTTAAATGCATGGGTCTATTTAATTACAATTTCGTCTATTAATGCATCAAATAGGTTTAATTGAAGTGGTAGTGCACAGGTTATCATTTTAGAATAAACACTTATATATTGATTTTGCAGTAAGTAAAACACAACTGTTGCCAACAAGACATAACACATGTTACACTTGACATTAGAATTATAATATCAGAAATATCGAACATGTCGACAGAACATTCCAATGTCACCGAATACACCTTAGAATTACGAGATGATTCAACACTTGACACAAAAGGTGACGCTGACGACGATGTTTCAAGTATTGATGAATATGAAGATGCAGTTGAGTATCTGGATGGGATACAGACAAATCACCAGCACGATACAGACTTACTATCAAGTGCAGAGGAACTAGAAAATTTAATCGAGGCTGTTGATGGTATAAATTCAATAACTAACATTTCGATGCCAATAAACACCAATGAAGTATCAAATACCTTACAATATGATGACATAGAGGTTTCATCCAGTTTAGATGATCTAGAAATAGATGACCATCCCACATGTACAGAAGATGGAAATGTTGTTGTTGTTGCGATTGATTTCGGTACAACTTATTCTGGATGGGCTTTTTCTCTCCTTAAAAAATTCAAAGATGATAAACTTGATATTCAAACAAATAATGGATGGAAATCCGGCGATGGTTTGGTTACACCTAAAGTGCCTACTTGTATCCTTTATAACAAAAATGAAGAGTTTAATAGTTTTGGATATGAAGCTGAAAGCAGGTACGCAGAATTAATAGACGATAATAGAGCCGGAGATTGGAGATATTTTAGTAGGTTCAAAATGAGTTTGTTCTGTGATGACAACGTAAGTACTTTCTTAAGTAAAAATTTCGTAACATTGCAAGATAGAAAATACCAAAATGATACTATAATTAACAGTAAAATAATGATAAGTAGCTAGGTTAGTATTCTAGCTAGATTCACTGTGAAACATATATCATTCTTGCATTCAGCGTATATAAAAAGATAATTCAATAGGAATAAGGCCTAGGGTCCATTTAAAGCAAAAGTTAAAAACTACATATCAATAACTTTTAAATTACATTGATTTTTAACGTTATTAGTTACATTATAAAAGCATTGAGTTTTAAATGTAGTTATGTACATTACAATTACATTTTGTGAACCAGCTGCAATGCGGCCTTTTATTTTACATGCGCTATTCATTATTGAAACATTTGTAGAAGCAAGTTTTAAGTTCATAAATTTTTTTTTTTCATTTTAACATTTAATTATTAATAGATATATGTTTCAAATGCATCAGTTATATTCATTTTCACAGACAAGATTTATAGTATTTAATGCTTTTCTTAAAACCTACTGCATGTAGTGTGTGTTTTTACTTTTCCTTATAATAGTCAAATCTGATGTTTAATTGTTTTTTTTTCCTTTTTACCTTTGTTTTATCTGGAAATCCTATGATAGTCAAAGATAAAAATAATGAGTATTTTACATTGGGATGATTTTTTTCAAAAGGTTACCTAACAATGTGCACCAATCAAAATATCAATATGTCAATTCAGTAATTAGTATGCAAGGAAGAACTTTCTTGTATTGCCATTATCTAAAGATCAAGGGACATTGTTGTACTTCATTAATTAATTAATTGAAAGATTATATCATTAGGCTTAGATTATAATTCATGATTAGAATAACAATTTACAGATTGAGTGTGAAGTTATTAGTATTGTTTTTAATCTTTTATTTTTTTTTTAAATATGTAGAAATTAATTTATAAATTAAACCACAATGAAGATTACTAAATTTGCAGTTTTAAGCAATGATAGGTATCAATTTTCGTTAACATAATGGCTATTCACAATCAAAGTAAACAGAAAGAATTTAAAATTACATGTACATGCGAAAATGAAATTAAAAAAAATACAGTTTACAGGTGTAAGTACATCAGAGAAACGAAAACTATTATAAACTTCTAAGCAAATACGCCAACGTAATTGAAAGCAGTTGAAAAAAAAATCATAATTACATGACAAAAAGGCAATATAATTATTTACCTTAAATCATATGTAATTGAAAATATGCTCAATTACACATTACTTTCAAATTTGTTATTAATTACATTTAATTACACCAGGTGTAATAAAAATCACCGAAAATCAGCAATTTTTGTGAACAACATTACTCATTTTAAATAGGCACTGTATTCTAAATAACCCATTCTCAACGTAGTTTTATATCGATGAAAATGATCTACAAGGGGACAAATCCTACTAATTTGTTTTTGCAGTCAGCCCACATGGGCTTTGGTAGAATTTCAAGTAGATATAAGATAAAAGACGTAAACGGATATCGAATGTCAGCTTTGCAAGTGTTTGCTGATACCCTTAAGTTTATGAAAAACAATGTCATTGAGACCCTAAAGCTGAAAATATCATCAATACCTTTACAATATATATCATGGGTGGTAACAGTGCCAGCTATATGGACGGATAAAGCAAAACAGTTCATGAGATTAGCAGCTTTAGAGGTAATTCGAAATTTTAAGCTATATATTTGTACACTGAAATATTGGATGTACAGCTAAATGACATATGTATCGTCATTTACAAAAATAAGATTCCAGTGACATTTTCGAACTTATGCTTTAAACACATCATTAGTTCAGGTAAAACTGTCTTATATGTTAATTACTAAGTTTGTGTGTTTTTTTCTGAGTAATTTGTAGAGTCTTTTGTCGTACATATGATCGGACAGGGATATATTACTGTTTGGAAATGAAAAGTTGGCAGTTGGGAAGACAAAATCATCATTATTGTCATAAATTTCTGAAGTTGTCAATCTGTGTCAATATCAACGAAAATATTAAGATATGAAACAGAACGTCTAGTGTCGGTAGTATCCTCAATCTCATATGATTTGGAAAAAAGGAGATGTGGTTTGAGACACCAGAGTTCAAATATTATTGATGTATGAAGTAGGCAGCTATAGGTCACCGTATGACCTTCAACCATAAGCACCCCCCAAGGGTGACTGGGGAATAGAAGTATGGTCACCATTGGTCTTCCTCCGACCGGCAGTAAAACCCGTGCTAAAGTGGGGCGTCCGTTTGGCTGTGCGGGATGTACAAATTTGCAGCCACGTCCGGTCAGAATGGGGACGTTAAATCCGATGCCTCGTGTAAAGAGAGTGCCACGCTCTTTGCACGTTAAGAACCCTTGCAACAACTCTTTGAGGGGTCCGTAGGTGACCTGTTGCAAGGCTAAATTTCTGTCCCTATCCATTATACCCTCATTTCCCGTGGCAGTCTAAATTTCTCCGACCTTTATCCCTTAATCTATTACAGAACCTTCCTATTGTAATTATTGTGAACTTGTTCTCGTCCTGAATATGCATGAAATATTTGCCACTGGACGTTAATCAACCAACAATCAATCAATCAACCATAAGCAAAACCCATGCACATTGTATAGTCAACTATAAAAGACTCCAACATGATGAAATAAGAAACAATTCAAAAGAGAAAAATCAATTGCCGATTTATAACAAAACCAAAAACGGAAAACTATGACAGCCAGCAACCAAAGACAAAAACTGAAACGCAAACTGGTGTTTATTTTGGTACATGAGATGCATGCATTTACTGACATGTGGGTTATTTAGTGATAGGACATCATCACTGTATATATGAAAGTGAAATTAAAGAACTGCGCAAGATGTTTCGTCTTTTGTACTTGAGAAGGCACTTTATGCATTCTGCTTTATACATGTCAAATGAGTACAAAAAGAAGTCGACCTGGAAGGGTACCGGTGCACAATAAGTCCCCACTCGAATTCCGACTGTCTGTTGAAATATTACCGACTATGTTTTCTGCTAGAACAACAACTATGTTGTTGATTAAAATTTCCAGAAATTTGATGATATCATCTTAAAGTATTTCTATTTGAACCGGTTTGGTTCTTCGCCAAATAAGATAAAGCGTATACAAATTAAAAGTTTTCACAAAAAACTGAAAACTTATTTTATGAAACTAACTTTTACAGTAGTAAATATGGTAAATAGAAATTAAGAACAAAACTGTTTAGTCGAACATCTAGATCACCCGGCTGTATATCGTTCTTCATTAGGATTTTTGTGAAGTTTAGATATTCAGTATAAAGAAGGGAGATTTTATTTGTCCTCTTTTATGTAAATACCAAAGAAGAGAACGAAAGATTTGTGATTATCTAAAATCTTCTGTTTCGCTTTTCATGTAGTGGTATATGTAGGTTTTCCGGAATTTCTGTGAATTCCAAGTACTAAGGACATTCCAGATAGTTATTTTGCATATAAAATAATATTGACTTGGATGTTGTCTGCTAAAACAACAATATACAATGTATTTGTCTTGAAGAAAAGATAAAGCATCCACAGCCTCGGGCTTCTTGAATGGGTTAGACATGTTTGATACTCGTGTGTGCATGGTACATCGTTGTTTTGAACACACCTCTGAATGCATTCCCGAACAGATCCATTTTGATAAAGTGTCCAGTCTACACTATAAGATCTTTAATTTCAAGGTTCGTTCACTTATAAACCAGGTTTCACTCACCATTTTCTTCGGAAAATGTCTGTACCAAGTCAGGAATATGGCAGATGTTTTTCACTTATTCCGTTGATTGATAGCGTTTATTTTTTCTGTTTTTATGGACTTCCTCCTTTTTAAATTTGCCATGGGTTCGGAATATTTGTTATACTCTTTTCCAAAACGTTAGTAAAACAGTCGCATTTAGCATGTATAATGAAGTACACACATAATAAAAATAAATAAATATTTTTTTTTTCGAAAACGGTATTTACCACACTTATCCATGTTATCACCAGTTAACCTGCTTATTATAACCCACCTTTGTTTTTCTCGTTCTGAATATACACCAAATTATTACTATTGGACGTTACGCAAGAAACAACTAATCAACCAATTGAGAAGGATGAAAAAGGATGTTTGCCATATAAGCCAATGACGAGACAGCTAGAGCTATTGAAAAAGATATATCCTGATACATATTCACCGGCGTCGATGAAAGATGAATGCAAATAATCAAATTATATAATAAACACAAATAATACGCTGGCTCTCAACCAATCGTAATCTAGGATAAAACAATGTTAGATATAGTTCTATAGACATATTTTCGTTTGTTCTGACTTGGTATCCTAATTTATTTTTTTGATACGGAGGATATTTATATAGTCATGTGCATACAAAACAAATATTTTGAATTAGACGTTTTATGAAAATTGGTCTGAATAATGATTCATTTATAACTTTGTCAATATTTTCAATAGATGTCCAAAGGCAATGTATATTTAATGCTTGTAAAATATTCACTGAAATCTGTCATTTAGTATTTCACGGTATTTAGAATAATGAAAAAACAAAGTTACATTTGGCACTCTTGCAATTAATACATGTTGTATAAAGTAAAACTGAAATTATGTGCAGTTAGTTTTTAATATGTTGTACGTTAGTATTTCTTGGTACCCTAATTTATTTTTTTGATACGGAGGATATTTATATAGTCATGTGCATACAAAACAAATATTTTGAATTAGACGTTTTATGAAATTTGGTCTGAATAATGATTCATTTATAACTTTGTCAATATTTTCAATAGATGTCCAAAGGCAATGTATATTTAATGCTTGTAAAACATTCACTGAAATCTGTCATTTAGTATTTCACGGTATTTAGAATAATGAAAAAACAAAGTTACATTTGGCACTCTTGCAATTAATACATGTTGTATAAAGTAAAACTGAAATTATGTGCAGTTAGTTTTTAATATGTAGTACGTTAGTATTTCATCTTTTCCTTCATGCATACCAGTTTGAGTATTTAGTCGTGAAAAATGCATTAAAATCTATTTCATTTTAATAAAGGCGGGTATTCCTGGTACACAGCTAACTTTGGCCTATGAACCTGAAGCAGCAGCATTATATTGCCGAGAATCAACCTATCAAAGAAAAGGTCAGCTCATTGGTCCAATATCCGCTTTTGGTACAGGAGAGTCACTTTTAATTTTGGACTGCGGAGGTAATCATTGAAATATGCAATTATAAAGCGTCACACATTTTTCAATAAATATGTAATTGAAAACATATCTTATAAAGATATCCTTCAGATTTTTAAAGCTGATAGAAAACAAATACGTAATTCCTTTAATCAATTTAAATTTTCAATCGGCATGCATTGCGGAAATACTGATCTTGAATTGGGAGAAGCTATAATAGCAAATAACATCTTCTAATATTAAAAAAAAAAAATTGCCTAAGAAATCCGTAGGTTTGGTAAAGAATTTGTCGAATCAGTGAGACGATCTTCAAATGTTTAGAACAAAATATTGTTTTATGTAAAGTTTAAAAGGGGAATTGGAAAATTCCACAGAAAAACCCTATAAAATATTGTGATAAATATCTAGGGTAAATGAAGACCAAACTGGGCCTGCATTATTCAGTCTATTTCAAAATAATATATCCCTTATCGAAAAATCAAAGAACAATCCGATTTAATAACAAAACATCATGTAAGCAATTCCTATAATCTGTAATTGTTCAAGTGTTATCGAATATTGATGAAATGATAACATTGTGATTATCGTGAAATATGTTGCTGCCAAACCCAAACCGTCTTTAATGTTTCCGCCTCACAACTGAACATATGAAATTGTGCAAAATAATCATTTAAATCCCTTACTAGTTTTATGTGAAGGATAATTTACTAAAAACGGGAAACAAACGTTATAACACAAAAACCTTTAGCTTCACCTGAATAAAATAATGATCCAGGACATCAATCAAAGTATGCTTTGAAAATTGATGTAAAAGAGCAATTACTTTAAGGATTTGTTAACTGATACATATATCACCCTTTGTAAGATTAACTGTCGATTACAAGTTCCCCTTATAACATTGCTGTCACCCTAATAATGGACTGAAAATTTGATGAATGTAGCAATGCCCATCGGTGGTCCTTTATTGGTAGATAGAAAATACTTATATTACATCTTCCTATTGTTGATGACCCTTTATCTATCATCAACATGGTTACCGATGATACTAAAACTTAAAATTCAAAATAAATATCTACATAAATATTTTAAAGAACAATTCAATTAATTGATTCATTTTTATTTTGATTTTAAAGAATAATGGTTGATGAGACCATCTGCCTTGAAATATTGACATAATTTTACTAAGTTGAATAATTGTTCACATCTGTTATCCTCCTTGAGATTATGATGGATGACATCATATGCATGATCTACACTGTTACTGAAAATATGAAATTTAATAATATTTTAATCAAGGAGTATGATAAGTTTTTTAAAAATCAAATTTCCATCAATTATTGATGATTAAATTTGTCATCCTCTTTCTGAGTAAAGGTGTATATCTCGAACCCATTTTTAATATATTACTGCCTATGTTACATAGAACATGTTGAAATTGAGAACATTTCACAAAACAACAAATATAGGTTGCTCTTTATACATGCAGCTTATTAAAAAAAACCACGCCTCTTTTGGGGAGATACGTAATATTCATATATATTTTGTTTTGTTTTCACACAAATATGATTGCCATGACACAACTTGTAAATTTTACCAGACACATAAATACAGTTGGAAAGCGGTCTAATTGAATAGACTCATAGTAAATGGAGGGGTAGTAGAGAATTTTAGTATAAGTCTAAATGGTAAATTCATGTAAATTGCATTGTCTTTATTTACATAAGTGCAACCTTAAAACATGTTCAAATATACTTGAAGTACCAATAGCCACCAAACTATTAAGTAAAGTTAACTGAAAACACAACACTCCTACCACAGCCATAAGACAAATACACGCACATTCTTGTAGCTTATTTTATCTTTCTTAGATGTTTTTCGTCATTGTATATTACAAGGTATCAGTGCTGAAAATCACCATAACATGCATAACAGACTAAATTTAGGACTTAATCACAAGACGCCAAAAATTACATTATACAACTTGGCCAAAGGCTAAGGCAAATGACTAATATTTCACAATTGTCTACGAAGGATTTACCAATTACCGATTTGATTCAGTTTCTGCAGATCTTTACCACACGTTTTTCACCTTTGTCAATTGTAGGTGTTTGACTGGACAAACTCAGTAAAAGATTATATGTAATCAAAAGATTTTAAATCCTGCAGATTACATACATTACGCACCGATAAATTTTCTCTTTTCGATTACTCTTGATTAGCAACATTAACAACAATTCTTCTTGAAAGGAACATAATTATATTAACAGACTTATCTGGATAAAAGAGTACATGTAGAATTTGCTCCTTCTAAACTAAAGTTGCAGGTGTTACCATGTCAGTCCATATCTCTGGTTTTAGATATAACATGTATATCGATGTAATTCAATCAACTTCTTATAATCATATTTTAATCTCTTTATCTTTCGTCAAATGTTGTAAATCCACATGGAAAGTCATGCCATCGTCAGGCATTAAACTCTAGATTTACAATTTATTGAAAATTTTAAAAATCTATTAGCGATTCTAATCTCATCGAAGGTAAGAGAAACCAACCATTTACTGGAATCGTCTCTTTAATTGCGTTGACATGGCGCTGTTGGTTTATTTTCGACCTGTAATTTTTAATGTCCCTTTGGCATCTTTCGCCTCTCTTTAACAGTACTGCAGAAAATATATATAAACAAGGTAATTGAAGGTATTAAGTCACATAAAAGTTAAATGTATGAAATGTGTCAGACTTGGAAGATATGAAAAGATATGTAGTAGACTAAATACCACATGTATCAGGGATTTTAATATCTACTAAATCTATGGGGAAAAATTAATTGTAATTACAATGTACACACGCAACAATTACAAGCCAAAGTATTCCAAGATCATAGGAGAATAAAACATCCAAAATTGTAAGGTTAGGACGAATACAATAATGTTTTCATCCGGTATTATAATTTGATTACTTACCCGTGTTACCTAGCTTTTACTTATTGAAGTGAATAACATTACAATCAAATAGTGTTATATTTGTTTTAACAATCAAGAAATGTGGTATAATTAATAATGAAACAATTTTCCAGCAGAAACCAAAGGCAACCATAGGCCACCGTATGGCATTCAACAATGAACAAGTGCCATACCATATAAATAACTATTAAAGGCATTACCTTGAAAATACACACAATTCAAACTAGACACCAGTGACCTATTTTTTGCAAAGACAAATAAACGAAAAACAAATATAGCAGACAGCAACAAAATTCAATCATTTTTTTAAAAATCAGTTGGAAAGGACTGAATTTATTAGATTGAAAGAAAGCACAAAAAGATCCAACACAGGACAAAATCACAGATAGTACTTGCAGTAACTGACAGCTTGTTGAAAGCCAATTATAACTTATAACTAAATTATTTATTTCTACAACTAATATATCAATCACGTCCAACATATCCAGCGTAAAGACGTCATAAACCGTCTGAATAAATGCATGACCTATTCCAATGCCAAGTATAAGTATCGACAGAATGTAGGACCATTAGTTTTCGTATCAATATAGTAATACATTAGTTACCACATTTTTCAAATGAAAAGGTAGTTAACTCTATGGTAGTTTTAAAAAAGACAATTGAAAAAATAGTTTACCGGATGTATATTCGAGATCAATTTTGTTATAGAGAGGCGGCAGGTACAAAAGTGTTATTAAAACTTTCCGTCGAAGACAAACTGACAACGCCGTGGCAAAAAAGAAAAAACGACAAAAAAAACAAAAAACAAACAAAAAAAAAACAAACAAACAAACAGCCTAGAAAACACAACGTAGAAAACTTAGGAATGCATGCATGCTGAGAAAAACGGCGAATGTTTTAAAATTTAAAAAAAAAGGCATACAGATTACATAATGTTAAGAGAAAAGTTTAAAATATGAGGGTCAAAGTTCCTACATTACTGGTAAAATCTGATTCTTATTCGTTTAATGATTAATATTGGTTTAATATTTGTCTTACGTGTTAGGGGGTACTATTGATATAACAACCTACGAGATAATAGCAAACGGCAGACTTAAAGAGCTTCACGAGCCTACTGGTGGGCCATGGGGAGGAACAATGGTAGACGAGGCTTTTTATGAGTTCATAGAGGAAATATTTGGAACAGAAGTGTGGAAAAAATACAAACACGAATACAAAAGTGAGGTTCTCGATATACGGAGACATTTTGAACTAAAAAAAAGAACAGTTGGTGAAAGCAGTGAACGTAGTGAACTATTCCTACAGTTTCCACGGAGTTTATTTGATAAATATGAGGAGTTTTACTCCAAACCCTTTACAACTGAGAAAGGGGTTTCAAGGCATAGAGATAAGTTGAGAATTCCAAGAGAAAACATTATATCATTGTTTGAGGAATCGACCACTGCTATTATAAATAATATTAAGGAACTATTGCAAAAGCCATGTCTAGTAAAAATAAAAACGATTTTGCTGATAGGCGGATACTCTGATTCTGCAATTCTTCGTAATAAAGTTATAGAGGAGTTTTCGGAAATGACCGTAATGTGCCCTGACGATGCTGTTTTATCAGTTGTTAAGGGAGCAGTAATTTTTGGAAATTCACCCGGATTGATCCAAGAACGTGTTTCTCCTCGGACATATGGTATATCATGCAACGTACCATTTGATGATGGCAAACATCTCGAAATGCTTTTAGAGTATAATGATAATCATGCCATGTGTAGAGATGTTTTCAAAGTTCTGGTTCGCAAAGGTGACACTGTGATAATTGGTAAACATGATTTTGAAACTATATTTCATCCAACAAGAGCATTTGACAAAAAAGCCACAGTTGGTATTTATACTTCAACAGAGAATGATCCTATGTATACCTTCGGACCTTTCGTGCAAGAGCTTGGGGTTCTTGAATTAAATATACCAGACACAAGTTTAGGAAAGTTGCGAGAAATTAAAGTTTGTCTTATTTTCAAAGCTACGGAATTAACTGTCATTGCAAAGGAAGGAGGCAACTTAGTACATGGGAAATTCAATTGCCTAGGGTAAAGTTTATGTTTTCACAAAACAGGATATATAAAACATTGTAAAATACTAATGCTAAATATCATAATACATATGGAAAATATACACAATTGATATTTAAAATTCTTTGTTATCACTTTGTATGTCTTTGGCTAACATCTTCATACATAATTATTATACATGTATATATAACTGAGGAGATGTGGTATGATTTCCAATGAGACAACGTTCTACCAGAGTTAAAATGAAGTGGTAGTAAACAATTACGTATGTCCTTCAACAATGAGGAAAACTCATAGTCGGCTATAAAAGGCAACTACATGATAAATGTGAAACAATTCAAACGAGAAAACTAACGGTCTAACAAAACAATTTAAGAAAAGAAAATATGATAGACATGAACCAACGATATGTCAATTTTCACCTAAATGTAAAACATACATTTAAAAAGTAATCATGTGCTAGGATGATTAATCATTAGTCGCACAAATCATCAAGTTTCTACCGCGAAATATTTTTTGAGTTAAAAGTAAAAAAGATACAACTTGATGAAGCCCGTACAACGTTGCAAGTGGGCGTTTTGTTTCAACACATGAAAGATAAAAAAAAAACATACAAAAAACAGGATTTTATTCTTATACAACATTTTTATGAAAATAACATTATTGAACAAATTAAGTATGTCATATGCGCATTTTTTTGTATTTACCTTAGTTCATGAAGGTTAATGCACAACATTGGACAACTAAATATGCGAGGATCTATATGACAAAGCGGGACCTTAATCGTAAAAACAGTAGCCAAATTCATTCAAGGTCAATTTGCATGAGGAATTGGGAACCTTTTTTTTTCTTTATTTATCAACGTATAATTTAAGAAAAATGTGTTTAAAATCATGTCAGTACAAAAACTCTGCCTGCTATGCCAATGATACACTCGAGAACTAATAGTCTACCAGCACTGGTATCGACTCTATAATCAGTGCTAGTAACTGAAAAGAACCTTTTTAAATATTGTGCAACTGAATCACTTTTTGGAATCTAATTTATCGGGAATACTCAAATTCAAAATTCGAAGCGTCGACTACCGATCTGAATATAACGAGTATATCACTTATAGTTTTCCTCCTTGTGCCTTCCTAACTACGCATTCAGACGCTTGGAATTTTTAAAAAAGCATGGTAAAATCTACATTTTTGAAAGGTATAAGGCGATCCCATCTAAGAATAAATTGACGCTTCTAGCTTTTCCAGACTACTATCTGATAAATATAAAACAAAAACCCTTCCTCTCTTTGGGTCAATAAAACAGGACAACAGGATAATGCCATTGTATTAAAGAAACTATCCATTGTATAGTGGCATGTGCAGTGAATATTACTAGTATACATATCTCTTAATTTTGGCAAGTAAAATAACTGGAAATTTTCTGATTTGTTGATCTTATGTTGCTTGTAATTTCAAAGTCTCGAAGATCAAGTAATGTCACGACATGAATTATCATTGATATTGCCATATTTTTAAATTAACCGTTTACAAAACTTTGAATTGTTCGGAATACTTCGATCGTTCTAAACCAGGAAAAGAATGCTCTAGCGATATTTGACTGAAAATTGGGTCTTTAATGCTCTTCAACACCATAATTTATTTAGCCCTTTAATTTGTGTTTATTGTAGACGAAACGCGCGTCTGGCGTACACAATTGTAAGCCTGCTAGCTTTGATGATTTTTTTTTAAAAAACGGTTTCAGATCTGTTATAATTTTTAAATAAAAAGTAAAAAAAAACTTTAATGTTGTCCTATGAAAATTTGACAGGCTATTTAGGTACGTTTTACTAATGTGTATAACTTTGAGTTAATATCAGCTTTACAATTTCTCTCCACCTAAAAATCATCATTGAAGCGCAGTAACTCCCATGAAAAAATGAATGACGATTTGAGCCATTCGAAGTTTTTGTAGACCATGCATGGCCGATTAATATTCCTCTTCGTGTGTTATAGTTTTCAAAGACTAAGCAACACGAACCTAACCAAAAACCATGGGTGCTCTGGAAGTGTTAGCAGATCCTGCTCCACATGTGTCACCCGTCGTGTTGCTCATGTTAATACAAACCCGCTGATAAGTCTAATTCGGTAGATCACATTCGGAGAAAAGGAGGACGATATTGTAGTTACGACGAACATAACCGTCGTCATCTTTTCAATTTTGTTTTTGACCTTTCAAATGTTTGATTTTAGCAAAACTGAAGCATTTTATTAAGACGAAACGAAAGTTTCGCTTTCTAAATTATAATTCTAGTATCTTTGATGAGGGCAATAACTCCTAAAACGAATGTGACATCTATGCCTGAAAAAGATTTGTGTTTACATTTCGAATATTTCTGTTTCTTCAGATATTAGATAATATTTTATAGTCTATCCCTATGTTTTATGTTTTGCCATGGTGTCCATGTCGATCGAAAGGTCGTTTTACTAGATTAAATATTTCGATTTTGAAATAGAAATATGTTTTGAAATAATGAAAAACAAACGTATATATTTTAAAATGGTCACCGTGGTACTTTATTTCAAAAATCGATGATACCGTATACTTTCTTCAAATTAATTATTTCAAACACACCTTATCTATCAGCATGAGACAACTTGAAAAGTAAATATAACTTATATCATGCTATCTTGAACAGTTGTTAGCTGATGAAAGTTTGCGAGTTAGTTCATTATTGTACTTTAACTTAATATTATACGAAAGTACAAACTTTTAAAATTGTGACATGTAATGTATATAGACTATTATGCTTTAGTTTCAAAGTTGAAAAAAAGAATAGCAACATTATTCTAATAAAAAGGTATCGGCATTATAATGCGTAATAAATATTCAAACTTTATTATAATCTTCCTCTTCGCCAAGCATTTTGAATACCATTAATGCATACAAATTGAAAACACAGGCCCATCGGTAACAAAGTTAAACACACCTTTCTCATGAATCGCCTATATTTTGTGAAATGGAATTAGTGTACACTATAGATGGTGGTACCAGTAACATGCTCAACCATCTTTAATTCAAATGCTCAACAAATTTAGACATTTTAATATGAGTAACCATTGTGTATAGTAAAAGTAGCAATTGATAATTTTGCTGAGTACGGTCATAGAAATAAAATAAATTTGGTACTAGGTTCATGATCCCATAAGCCAGTTTTTGTATGTTAGAAACGCTCACAGATAAGCCTTATAGTACGTACGGATGTCGCGGTAATTTCAATTCATCGCGTATCATTTAACCATGTATTTAAAAAGTACTAAAGACGAGATCTTTAAACACAAACTTCGCTTTCGGTTTAAAGATATTCCTAGTGAACAGTTATGGTAAAGATTTGACGATTCTTAAAATAAGTCAGATGTTGAAGTTGCTGCATACAGGAAGTACATGTAGGTAGATATAGACATTATAAGAATGTTTGCCCCAGCCAGAGTTTCTTTTTCTTTTCTTAAAAGCACAAAAATGTCGTCATTCACTTCAACAGCTAACCAAACCTTTAAATAGACTTATTCAAAAGGGATATAGTTACGATACTGCATGTTGTCAAGTCATTACATATGGAGTTAATATCGATTCTATTGTAGGGTCTTTGCATCGAAAAGAAACACATTTATTCTAAAAACAGTTGTTGGTATGATACGGGTTATGTTCTCCTCGTATACTTTATTATGGCATGATAGTAAACCCCTAACGGAAGGGATTGTGGTTGATTTTCATATGATTAAGACATACTCTTTCGATCAGTTTAATTGAGGTCTAGAACTGGCATTTCAGTAACTCCTTTGTTAATTTATGTTGATTATAATTGTCATTTGGCTTAGTTTCTTCTGTTAGCTATTCGGACTCGGAATTCTTTTAAAATGAATTTGACTGTGCGTATTGCTGTGCGTTTGCTTATTCCACATTGGCTAGGTGTATTGGAGGAGGGTTGAGATCTCATAAAACATTCAAACCCGTCGCATTTTGGCGCTTGTTTCAAATCGGGAACCTCTAGCCTTTGTTAGTCTTGTTTGTATATTTTTATTTTAGTTCATTGTACATGTATGTTTCGGAGTTAAGTGTGACGTCCATTTTGATGATCAAGTATACATTATTGTTTAGGGCCAGCTGAAGCCCACCTCTGGGTGCGGGATTTTCTTGCTTCGTTGAATACCTATTGATGGACTTTGTCTATTTTCTGCTCTTTGGTTGGGTTGTTGTCTCTTTGACACATTCCCTGTCTCCATTCTCTCTTTTATTTATGATCTGAGACAATTAATCTATTTTACCCTTATGTTCTATTTTTAGCCAAGGCGATCATATTTGTTGACTGACAGAGAAAAAAGGACACCTCCCCAAGGATCATTTATCCCAAGTATGGTTAAATTTGGTTCAATGGTCTCAGAGGCGATGATCTTTGAAAAGTAATCAAGAAAATTAGTAAAACATTGACATTTAAGGCTATTATTCCTAAAGGGTTCAACCAATTGTTTCGGTTGTATTGGTGTTTTTGTATATCTTGTGTGTGCTTTTAATGTTTGCCCTTATTAGTTTCTACCTGCTAATCTAATACAGATTTTGAATTAATAGGCAAATCATGAAAATTAAACAAAAATCGTCGTTTAAGTGCAGTAAAATGGATTCATCAGATAATTTTGGTGCAACCGGAAGTATGGAGATCTTGCCATTCTGAGCATTTACGCTCCGTCAGATTTTGTCTATCTATAATAGCAGATTTCAATATATAAGACAAATAATAATAAGATCTTATTGGCATTCATGCAGTATTCATGATGGTTTGCATTGCCCGTTTTAATTAGGATCCTGGTAAATAGTTTTATAACATCCTTTTCAAAAACCTGCAATACGATGTACTTTAAATGTGAGCTGATATTTATGGACTAAAAAAAACCGCAATATCTTGCTTCTCTATATAAGAAAGTTACACGAATACTATATCCATGATTTTAATATGTATCATAAATTAAATTTTATCTGCAACTTTGTTGTTATTCTGCTTGCTCAACAGAAAGTCATGGAATATTTCAATTTTAATTAAAGAAATAAAAAAAATATCGGCTAACAGCTAAATAACTTTAATAT